TGGGCGGCGGCGGCTCGGGCTGCGGCTGTGGCCGAGACTCGTTGCGCTTCGCGGCGCCTCGCCCCGGGCCGCCCCTGCGGAGCGGGAGTCTGGCGCCCCCGCGGCCCACCGCGTAGGGAGAGAAGTAGGGGCGTGGGGTGAGCGGAGGCGCGGGTCTGCGAGTGTCCACGTCGAGCATGATGATGACGATCAGGATCCAGGGCAGGAGGATGAAGAAGCGGCTGAACAGCACGGACTTCATGGTGCGCGCTCCACCGGCCTCTCGGACGCCCCAGAGGGGGGCGAGTCGGGGGCCCCCAGTGCGCATATTGGACGACGGCGGCGGCGCCCGCACCCGCACCCAGGCAGCTGCGGCGGGCGCGCTCTCCCTGGGGCAGGGAGCGGCGGGGCTCACCACCTGGGCGTGGGGGATCGGCGCAGGTGCGGGGAAAGCTGGGGCTGTAGGAGGTGCAGGCGGGCCGGCGGGGGCTGTCCCCACTGGGGGTGCGCGGGCGGGAAGCGGGACTCGGTCCAGCCGCGCGCAGTGGCCCCGGAGTTGTGCCGAGCGCGGAGAAGACGGTGATCCCCACCGCGCTCCTTCCGAAGAGCAAGAGCCGGGAGCCCGCACGCGATGCGCTTCGCCGCTCCCTTCCCGCGGCGCTGCGGGCAAAGGTGCTCCAGCCGCGGCCCCTTAATACGCGCCACAGGACATCCTCGAGGGCAGAAGGCGCTGGGAGCTTTCCTTCCTCACATTCCGGCCTGGGCGGCGAGGACCGGGAGGGGACGCCGGCGATGCTGTGTCCTGGGCTGTACTCGCGCGCCGCAGCGGAAGCCCGCGCTCCCGTCCGTCGCCCTTCTCTTCTCAGAACCTCTCCCGACTCCGGCAGCAAGATCCCAACGCAAGGAAAGAAAGGAAAAGCGAGGGGGGCGGGGCGCCGCAGACTCCAGCGTCCTCCCAGTCCTCCTGTGGGAAGACAGCCGCGTTGCTACTGGCGGAGAGGGGCTACGAGACGGAGGCGGGAGGGGGCCCCTGGCTCCCGGCGGGGCTGGCGCGGACGGCCCGGCGAGCTAGCTCGGGAGGCGGCCGCTGCGCCGCGGGAGGAGGAACGGCAGGAGGGTCCCCGCGGGGCTGCACGACCTCCGGGAGGGGGTGATGTTCGTTCGCTGCGCGCTGAAAAGCTTTCTGAAATACTGCAAGGTCTTTGGAGATCAGCCAGCCAGATCCATTCACGTGCGGAAAACTCTCCCGGCTGCCCGCTTTGGTGCTGGTGCCTAGGGTGGGGAGTGGAAGGAGAGAGGCGGGAGACAGCAGAGGTACCTTCTCCGGCTCCTAGCTGCGGGCTTGGTGTGCTGGGGCTGTACTGAAAAGCGGCGCTTGCACCGAAAGGCAGAAATCAACAGAAGCCCACGGAGACGGAGGGGGGCCGCACATGGGTGTTTGGTGTGTGAGGCAGCCCGTAAGAATCAGTCCGAGTGGTTGCTGCCTGACTACAGTTAGAACCTTCGGGGAGTATTCCTAAAACTCAGCTGAGTGTGTTTAACTTATCGTTCTTCAGTAGTTTGGAGTCACAGTCCCTCGCAGTTCGCTGTCACCGGAATTATTGCGTTTGACCCTCCCAACGATCCTTGACAGGAGGCCTGGGAAGTAGAATTGCCTTCATTTTCCGGATGTGTAAGCTGAGGTTCAGGGTTTAAAGTGATTTCTCTGAGGTCAGTGCAAGTGGCCACGTGGAAATAGAACGTGGGCCTCCTGAGTATAGCCGGTGGCTTCCTCACTGCGTGGCCTGCAGAAATCACAGTCCGGCTGGGCGGGGCTGACGTTCCTGGATATAAGCATGCTGCTATCAAAGTCAGACAGAGCATAGGAGGACATACAGAACCACTTCAGTATCTGGAAGACACCCAGTAAATAGCTGGAGCTTAGTTTGGACTTTTTCTATCTAGCCGACCTACTTACTAGCTGCGACCCTGGCGGTCTGCAATGTACAGGGAAGAGAGAAGAGGGGGCGTGCAGGCAGGCACGTCCTCGGGAGGTGCTCACAAAGCACCAAATCCCTCTGCGCATTCTGAGAGCGCAACCGAGCTCTCTGGGGCGGTTGCCCGTCCAGCCTTTCCGATGCCCGTCTTCTGCCAGCCCTACCCTTGCAGCTCCTGCCTGTTGGCAGACGTTGGCCCATTTGTGAATTTCCCTGACCTCCCCCATCCCCGACCCCAATCCCAGACTCTTATTTTTAAAAAGAAGTGTTTTTGGTGGCTGGCCGATACAGGGATCAAACCCTGGACCGTGGCCCCTTTAGATTCTGAAACCTGAGAGTGAAATGTTAGACCAATGCCAGGTGCCCCTTGCCTCCTCCCCCAAGGGCTAGCCTTCTGTCCCAACTTCCCTAGGTCACCCGCGACTCATATCTTAAACTCTGCAGATTAGTGCATTTTAAACAGAGATAACAATGAATCCATTAAATCTCTCCCATATATTCTGATAGCCTAATGTGCCTCTAAAAATAACACAACCTGTGGAAACATCCTGGCCAGACCTCGGTGTGCATACCAGCATAATGCTGGTGGCGGTGGAGGGAAATCAGTAAAGGCTTTTTTTTAAGTACTAGAAAGTAGCACACGCACATGCCCACCCCGCCAGCCCCCATGTTACTGAAGTTTCCTTCATCCTGATGGAATTTTTAAATTTGGTTGAAAAGAAATGCCTTATGTTAGCTGGAGGTAAAACTCAAGTGGTCACTGAATTGTATTAAAAAGCGTCACTAATCTTCTTTAGTGGGGAGCTCTTCGTTAGTCCCACTATACCATAAAACCTATTTTCTAATTGTGTCTTCTCCAGAAACCAGGGCTATTCAGAGATGAAACACTTTCGAAACCAATCAAATTTGGCATTTGAGACTTTAGTAGCTGGTACCCAGAATTCTCTGTTGGTGTACAACACAACACTTGACTAGCACATCAAGGACTGTCACTTCATTTTTTTCTATTATCCTTAGCATTGGCAACCAGGTTGACCTCATTCAGCCATCTGTTGGGTGCATCATGCTTTTTGGAGTCAGGCAGACCTGGGCTACTTAGAAAGCCTATGAGCCTCTCAAGCCCTAAGTTTTCTCATCTGGAAAATGGAATTAATAATATATGCTGCATTGGAATCTTATAAGGATTAAATGAATTAAGTTAGATGAAGAATTTTGCAGAAGAGATGGTTGTAGGCAGTCAATAAATGGTATTTAAATACAGGTAATGCTTCCTCAAAAGAATATCTTAACCCAGGAGATCTTGATGGATCATCTTATCACATGAATATAAAATGAAATCTATCCTAAACAGGACTGACAGTGCCTCTACATAGTACTGCCACCTGTACAGGTCATCCTTGTTTGTGTTTGAGTCTTCCCAAGTTGCTGTAGGGAGGGAAAGAAAGAAGGAATCAACTTATCCCAAATACAAGGTACAGCTTGTCGTACAATAAGGATGAGACGATTCCAGGTGGCATTTATTTCAAATGGCTGAATATACCATATTGTTTTATATTTTGTGACTCAAGTTGTGGACCCAAATCCTTTATGATCAAATCTGAGTAAAGATATAATGATACAAAAAATTATTATTAAGGGTGTTCATTTGAAGCACAAAACCAGTGTAAAACACTTCTAAGTGCAAAAATTTATCATGCATTTAAAATAAGTTGAGAGTTTATCAGGTGCTAGAATGGAAACAACTTCCTTAAATGGGGGCTTGAAGAAAATGTCATTTTTATGAAGGATAATCACTGGGTAGCTATAGTGCTTTTCAATAGCTTATGGTATTCTTACATAAAATAATTTATACTTGATCTGTGGCTAATAATGAAGGTTGGTAGAAGTCACTAGAGTAATTAAAATAATTACTTGATTTCTGAGCTTCTGCACATCCTCTCTGTTTATTTTCATTTAATCTCTCTAATTATTTGTGTAGTAAAGTGAGCATTGCTTCATCTATACTAATGAAGACTTGGATTGCTGGCATCGGCCGTTGCATTTCAGTATTGTCAAATAAACAAAAGTAAAAAACATTTCATCTGAGGAGTTAATAAAAAACATACTGTGTAATCACTAAACATTTTCATTTTGCTTTGATGAATAATATGCGACTGTATCTTCTGTAGCAAAAAGATTGCAGCACGATTAGTGCACTGTATTGAACTGATCCCATTTGACATTTGAGCCTGGGGTTCTACTAGTGTGACTAAACCAACCTTCAAATGAGCATTTGGGGACATCTTTGATATTCTTAATCAAGTAGGAAAGGGACCAAAAAAAAAATCTATACAGTATTAAGTATTTGTAAATATCTATATGATAATAACGTGCTTATGCAAGTCAGGCTGTGAAGAGAATCAGAACTAATTCATGTGCAAGTAATAATGTAATGTCAAAGTATTGATAATCAATACCCACATTCATGTGAACATAAACACTTTCTGTTAAAAGATCAGCTGTGAAAGAATGATGTCAAAATAAATAATTTGAATAGCTCCAGATTCCAGGGATACATGACAGTTTCATTGATAACTGTCAGAAAAATGACATCCAAACCACAAATTAAATGGCTCATTTGGTTTATTTTCATGCATCTGGATCCTCAGCAAATATCACTTTTGGCTTAGAATTGTTCAAAATTATAATGCTTCTTTAAAATTTTAGACATTTGCTGTTATTATGTACAAAATGTGACATTACAGGTAATTTGTTTAGTAAAATCCCATTATTATGGGATGGGTTGAGAGCAAGGTACTCGGTAAAAGTGATTTTCTAGAAAGAAAAAAATTGGCAATTTACCCTAACAATTTTATTGAAAAAGAATTCTATTCTGTTTGAATGGGATCTGAAGATATAACATGCTGGTGTTCCTCCTTTTCCTTTTATTAATGGATTAGGATACACCAAAAAATAGTAAACATACATAAAAGCATTCTGGCATTCTTCTCCCACTTCATCTTAAAAATTGGCATTTACATTAAAATAGTAATTTGTTAGAAATAGAATTTTACTGTAAGACCACAAAAGCTTGTTTTCAGAGTTATGAGAATCAAAGGAGATAATGTAGATGAAAGTATATTACACACCATAAAGTACTAAACACTATAAAATTGAGGAGAGGGATGAAGCAAGATTGGCCATGATTGATAATTGTTGAAACTGGGAAATGAAAACATGGAGGTTCCTTATATTATTGGGCCTATTTTTGCATGTTTCAAAATTTCCATTATAAAAATACATAAAATAGGTTATAATGTACTGTAGTTCATTTACCAAGATAGTACTGCTGTCCTACTGCCCTTGTTTTAAAAACTACATCTAGTGTCTGATTTGTGCAAAATACATGGTAGTATTATGGCTGTAAATCGTGTCCCCTTAAAATTCATATGTTGAAGTCCTAATCCCCGGTACTTCAGAATGTGATCTTATTTGGAAATAGGGCCATTGCAGATGTAATTAGTAAGATGAGATCATACTGGAGTACATGGATGCCTACTCCAATATGATTGTTGTCCTTATAAAAAGGGGAAATTTGGACACAGAGGTATTCACACAGAGAGAACTCCATGTGAAGATTAAAGCTATGCTGCCACCAGTCAAGGGATGCCAAAGATTTCCAACAAACCACTAGAAGCTAGGAGAGAGGCATGGAACGGATACTTTCCTAGTGCCTTTGGAGTAAGCATGGCCATGCCAACACCTTGATCTTGGACCTTGAGCCTCTAG